ATAAATAAATAAATAAATAAATAGTTTATCATAAGTAACCCCTTTAAAGATGCAATTGTTTCATGATAAGTGGGAATACCTGTATAATGATTGATGAAACCATTTCATATATTAAGCCTACATATTTATGTAGCTGCAAAATTTCTAACTGCATTGTAAAGGAAAATGCATCCATTGGCAGTAGCAAGGCTAAAATAATTATGTCTTATTGAGTAGAAGTCTGAAGTGTGGATTGCAGCCTTAAATGGCAAACTATCTTTGGAAGACAATCATATGGACTTCATTACTCAACACATTGAAATGTATGAGTGTTCAGAATTCTTTAGGTTTTTCCTTTTGAGAAATGTTCCTCTAAATTCACATTTAACATGCCTGGCTAAAAAAATTAAATACATTTCATGAGGAATAATTACAATGCAATATTATAGATAGAAAACTAATATGTATAAATAGTTCCCTCTTAAAGAGTTTTCCAGTAAAATTGGTCCTTTCCTGTAATCTCTGATTTGGCAGTAGAAATGATTAACCGTGATAGCTAACCTATGGCAGGCGTGCCACAGGTGGCACACGGAGCCCTCTCTATGGACACGTGAGCCATCACCCCAGCTCAGCTCCACCGCACATGTGCAGGTGTCCCCTGACAGGCAGTTGATTTTCAGGTCCCTGCCGCACATGCAGGAGATGAGCATGTGGGGGTCGGGGGTTGCATGTGCATGCACAGGGGGTGGGGGGGAGCACAGGGGGGTACGACCCATTTTTGGTCCCTGGAGGCTTCAGAGAGGCTTCAAAACGGCCGCAGAGGAGGGTCTCACACATACACACAAGGGGGGCAGGGGAATGCAGGGGGTTGCGTGTGCATCCACGTGGGTGCATTGGGTGTGGGCATGCACGTGTGGTCAGCACGTGAGGACAAAATGTTAGCCATCACTGACCTATAATCTTTCCTTGATTCTAGCATACTTAATGGATCATAGTTCACAAGCCTAAAAAATAAGATCCCTTGAATTCAAAGACACGATTCTAGATAGATGGTCTTAGTAGGATAAAAATTATTTCAAAGTCAAAACTCATACCACACTTTCTGCGTGCGCACTCATATATTCTGCCATTTTAAGTGCATAATGCCAGGCCACAAACTGTAAAACTATAAAAGATTTTATTGCAGAATGCAGCCAGGTGAATGATATAAATTCATTCTTCCTTTAAATTAAACCAGAATCCTTCCTTNAAAATATTGTGTAATAGTTGATTTCATTTATTAAACTCTGAATGCACCTATCTGTAGGGAGACAATATTGTAATCCGGTGGCAGAGGTGCTCCAAAAACCTTCTCCTGAAGACTCTCTATAGGAGGGGCTCTATTCTGAAGGCCTCCAAACTTTCCTTTACTGCTAATTCTGTCCCCCTCTCTTGTTAATAAAGTTGGACAATATGTCATTTTCACAACCTATAGATATAAAAAAAGAATTTACAATCAAAATTCAGTACTTTTTTTGTTGAAAAATAATTCCATGCCAGGCGTGTCAAACTCAAGGCCTGTGGGTGGCTCAGCCCACGTCACTTCAGCCAGGGCCACCCAATCTTGGCATGTGTGTGTGTGCAGAGCTGGCACATGCACAGGTCAGGCTCACACAATCCCGGTGTGTGTTCATATGCACAGGAGGCGGCAGCACATGGGTGCACAGGCCAGGCCCATCCCAGCAGGTGCATGTGTGCACTTTTAGGTGTTTGTGCATGGGGGGAGACATTTGGAGGAGGAGCTCTGCAGCTCGCCCTCTGGGAAGCTTCGGCCTGGCCCATTCTATCATGGCAGGCCCATGTGCATGGCCAAGTGCATGCACAGGCCCAGCCCACGCCATCCTAGCAGGTGTGCATGTGCACAGGAGGTGGCCAGGATGGTGGGGTCTGACAGTGCATGCGCCGGCTGACTCCTCTCCCCCACCACCAGCCCACGAAGGAAAACTAGAACTCTGATGTGGCCCGTGAAGAAATAAAGTTTGACACTCCTGTTCTATGTCACTAAGCAAGCGTTTTCTTTGATATTATTAGAGCAAATGCAAATGCTTTTTTAAAAAAACCCAGAACTTAATTGCTGCGTAAATCATATAGGATGAAATGGGGTCCATGTATGAACTCTTTCTCTGTTATACATTTTATACAAACCCTGTTTGATTTAAAAGAAAGATGGGAAGGCATGCCCCATTATCTCACCACCAGTGTCTGCATATTCTGCAACCTTCAGAGTGAACATGACCTCCAACCCTCTCAGAGAATAATATTTTAAGATAGCAAATAACCTGAATGCCTTCTACCACTATTTGGGGAAGAGAAAACTGCCTTCCTCCTCCCACTTCCACAGTGCAGACACCCACTGTTCAGCTGATTCCTTTCCAATTTCAACTTCTGAGGAGTCGAATTGGAAGCAGGTTAGAGTTCTTTTCCCATTCTTTTTGTTCCCTAACCTTTTTGTTACATATGATATGGAAATCTCATTCCAACTAACTAAAAGACGAACATATTCCTTCAGTTCTAAGCATGACCGTTCATCCATAGCATATTGCAGCCAGTCTGTTTCTTAAGCACAGGGCACTTATAGCTGACAGAATCCAAAGAATCTGAATTTCAACATGAATCCTAGGTTCTTTTCAACATATTTTTATTCTTGAATTTGCTTCTCTCCTTAAGCCAACTGTTTAGAAAGGTTTCTCTTCAAATTTTCTGAGGAAGTGAAGCCTAGATTTACCATCTGTACTGAAAAGAAAATAGCTCAACACTAGATTGATCTAAAAAAAGCAGACCCTGCATTTGGGGAAAACACTTGGAGTGAAAAAAATATGCTGACAAAAACACATTTTACTGCAATAATTTATCTTTAAATTAGGCTTGTTCAAATTAGCTAAGAATCGGGTTTTTCTTTTCTAAACTTAATTTTGATGGGAAAGTCAGAGTGGTCTCCCTTTTAATATCTCGGTAATCCTTGCTTAACAATGGCAATTCGAACCAGCAACTCTATTGCTAAGCAATGTGATTGTAAAATGTAATGTCTCATGACTATGTCAATTTTCAATCTCAGTTGCTGTCCCATTAAGCAAAACCCACTTAGTCATAGCATCCTATGGTCATATGACCACAATTTGTGATCTGCTGGCTTCCTCACAGATTTTGCTTTTTGGAAGCTAACAGTGAAGATCACAAATGGTGATCATGTGACTGCAGGTGATCATGTGTCAGCTGCAACTACAAGGACTCATCATAAGTCCAGGTTCAGCACCACTGTGGTCATGCAGTTTGGACAACATTTGTTGATGACACCTAATTGTACATTGTAATCCTGGAGATCTTGCTAAAGTCTTATCTCAATATTTGATGGCTATGATTGTCTGGATAAAAAGTAAAAGTTTTCCCTATCCAGTTGTGTCCAATGCTAGAGGTGCTAATCTCTGTTCCTTAGCCAAGAGAGACAGTGTTGTCCGAAGACATCTATGTGGTCATGTGGCCAGCATGACTATACACTGGTGCACAGAACACTGTTACTTTCCCACTGAACTGGTACCTATTTATCTACTTGAATTTGCATGCTTTCAAACTGCTGAGCAAGAGCTGGACCACGTAACTGGAGCTCACCCCATCATGCAACATTTAGGTCTCAAACCCAAGCTGTCCAGCTGAGAAGCTCAATGTCTTTAATCACTGAGCCACCGCCCCCACCCCACCCCTAAATGGTCTGGATAGAATAGGCTTAACCTTAAGAGAGAGTTGTACATCAAAGGAATATCTATTAAGTAGTAGAAAATGGAAATCACAGAACTGAGCAAGCCCTTTAGGAAAGAGGGTCTTTATAAGTTTGTGAATATACATGGAGCTACACTAATCTTTTTCCTTTTCAGACACGCATATGTATATAAGCAACAAACAAAATACCTTACAATTGTAATACATACCTCTTTTCTGTAATGATTGGCAGCTTCCAGGTTGTCAATAATAATTGTATTACCCAAGAGCATCCCAAACACTGTAAAGATACATGAATTATTAATACAGTGTTTAGAATACAAATAATACACAAACTGACATTCTATTCATACCTACTTATTATGAAGCATCAATAGTGAATATGATGTTAGCATCATGATAGAGTGAACAGAATGACTCTAAATTAGAAAGAAAATTTGTCAAGATAATCCAGGGTAAGAACAACTGTATTGTTCTAGTAAGTATTGGATTTGATAGATGCCTCTTTGATAAACTACAGGTATTAAGAAACTGCATATTTGTATGTAAATTCAAGGCATAGTCATTTGTATTTATGCCTTGTTCTCTAGTTGCTACGTTCCAAGATGTCTGCTATACAAAATTTCAAGCAGAAGTGCATGTAAAAGGACATATGTGAAGGTTTATACGTATAAAGGAAGGGTTTCCCCCTACAATAAAATGGTGATAAGTAGTGCTACTATCCATTAGAGATATGTAAACCTCACTGTATGAGGAATGTTTCAACAAAAATGCTGTTTCAGCAGAAGTTCAGTGGTTTTATGAAGTAAATCCTCTGAACTGGAAGGGATTTGAGGTGTTTGAAATCTATTTGGTCTGAAATAAATCACTTGAATCACTTCCATATTGGAAAATTTATAGAAATTGCCAATTTCCCAGAATAACATAATCTTTTGCTTTTCAGACTAACTTGTGTTTGGGAGCTTAAAAAAGGAAATAGGAAAAGTAATAAGTTCCTTACAGGAAAGATGGGATAAATAATAATATTTATTTAACACTTACTTAAAGAGAAATTTTTCGGTAGCTGTTACTAATAGCCAGATGGCATTATTATTTGATAGAGAAGAAGACTTCCCAAAGACATAGTTTGTTCAAGCTCTTTCAATTACCAGCCTGGGATAATGTTCAAGTGTTTTGATGACAGAGACCCAAGTGAAAGTCTATATTCAACCATGGAAACCCTCAGTTATTCAGTCTCAGCCCAACCTCCCTCACAGATTTGTTTGTGGGAATAAAAACCTAAAAAAAACATTCTTTCTATGATATTTACCTATTTGGCAATGCTCCTTGTGCTCTGGAAATATTAGCAAGTTCCTAGCAAATACAGGATTTCCAATAGGACTGAAAGAGTTTCCTTCATTGTTCAAATGAGGTAAAGGTCTGCTTAAAACAAAAAGGTATTCTTTCATTGTTGACTTTGTCAGACAAATACAAAACATTTGGCAACCATTTAGATATTAGTGTTGACTACCAACATTTTAAAGGGAAAATTTGCATTTTGAATATATTACAATATAATTTACAATGTACAGGATTTGAAACAGAATATGAGACAAATTCATTCTTTCAGAAGTAAATCACCATTAAGAACTTAGGAAAACAAATTGTTAGCTATTATTTAACAATTCAGTTGTAGTGACTAAGATCCTGAGCTAAACTGGGGATTATGAATTCTAGTCCTTAGGCATGAAAGCCAGTTACTCTAAAACAGACTGAAACATGGAAATGAATTTATGAACTAGCACCCTTCCTTATCCCTTCTGACCCTGCTCTAGTTTTAAGCAAGGAAATAAACTGTAAAGTTGATAGAATCTTAGAATTGGAAGGGACTATTTAAGCCAATCTCATTCTCAGTGCAGGAACACAAATTAAATGATGTCCAACATTGGTATGTCACTTCGCAGTAACAGAGGGAAAAACTAAATTTGAAAAATCTAAAAATGTTAGAATTATTACATTTGGAAATAAAATATTAATTACATTTGGAGAAGAAAACAAAATGTTACCTGTTCCAATCTGGAAGACTCTTCTTATAAATAGAATCAAGAGGCAATACTTGTTGTGTACCTTTAGTCTCATCAAAAATACGCCGTGCAGCAGCTGTTGTCAAAGTGACTATACAATCCATATCATTTGCTAAATGCCAGGAAACGACCTTTGCTACTTCGTCATCTTCAATTTGTGCTAAGTGTGAAACCTTGCACAAAAATTAAGCAATGAATTAAGAATTAAGGATTATTTTGTATGTTTAAAAGAAAGATCTTAGCCTTCCCGTGTGCTTAACCTACTTGGGAGTTTACGCTATTCAGTTTTGAGGCTAAGCTTTATATACTAGGTCTCCAACTTCTCCCCCCCCACCCCCCAAAAAAGAGAAATACACTGAGAATCCTTTCCTCAAGAAAATTCTGACATAAACAAAAAGTTGTGTTTAATAAGATGTAAAAAGAATTGGTCACACACATATTATAATTATGAAGTTTTTACTAAAGTGCTATGAAAGAAAAGTGATAGCTTTACTTATCACTTTTTCACACATGCACACACACAGCCTTCAAATCAATATGGACTCCTGGCAGCTGCCAATAAAAATTCCTACAGTTTTCTCAGCAAGATTTTGCCATTGCATGCTTGCTAGGGCTAAGAGAGAATAAATGGCCCAAAGTCACCCAGCTGGCTTTGTACCTGAAGTAGGATTAATCTCCTGGTTTCTAACCTAATGCCTCCACCAAACTGGCTCCTATGATGGTATTTGTTACATATTAAATAACAAACTTAATTAAAATATAGATAATAACGTCCTTTTCTGCTCTTTTTTGAGTTAGAATTGACAGGCATATATTATGATTCCCTAAAGCTAATAATATTGGGGAAATATTACTATTACTACTGCTACCACCACCATCACTACTACTACTATTAATGATAATAAAACCTGGAGATATACAATAAATGGATATATGACAAAATAGGTAAGAAAAGATATACACTGTATAGAAAGGAGAGAAAAATAAATTTAAAAAATTAGGTTTTTTTAAAAAAAGAAAATTGAGAACAAACTTACCTTGCCCAAAATATACTGATTACGTCTGGAATAATTGCTAAGTGTGCATATTCTTCTAGGTTGTTTCAATATTCTTTCCTGCTCAGCCTGCTTAAGGTTTATTGAGGAATNGTAGGGGATTTCAGTCTCTAGTACAGGGGTGTCAAACTCAAGGCCCGTGGGTGGGACCTAACCCGTGGGGTATAGATATGGCTTGCAGGGTCACCCTAGAAACAGTGAAGGACTGACCAGAGATGCTTCTGCCAACTAAAATGGGCCCCCGAGCTCCTTTTACGGCTGCCTCAGTCTCCTACAACCCTCTGCTAGTGAAAATGGAGCTCGGGATGGGCCGCACACGAGTTCCGTTTTCACTGGCAGAGGGTTGCAGGAGGCTGTGGCAGCTAAAAAAGGAGCTCAGGAGCCCATTTTCGCTGTCAGAGCACTTGGGCCACCACAGGCGCTCCCAACAGGAGTGACGTCAATCTGGCCATGCCCATCCCGCCCCCCCGCCCCCCCCCCCCCCCCAAGGTCAAACACAAACTCTGATGCGGCCCTCAATGAAATAGTTTGACACCCTGCTCTAGTAGGTGTGTGAGAAGCAATACAGATTTGGTTTGATAGAGTAATTCAGAACATGGGAGATAACTTTTTTTCATTGAAGTAGAATCACTAAAATTGCTTTGCCAAAGCAATCTTGGTGACTATAGGCCACTTCCTTTATGTCTTCTCCCATACTGTTGGCTTCCTCCTGAAAGAAAGTGCCCAGTCTGTGCTTATTCATAGGTGTAAATTTCTGTAGACAGCCTCAGAGCTATTTTCATCAATCATTAAATCAGAATGGATTGGAAAGATCAATCTAAAAGAATTTAGGCACATCTAGAGCAGAATACCGTTGCTGATTTCCAGGACTATTGTCAATGCATTTTTCCTAATTTAATATAAACACACACTTAATACTTTGACCCAATGTAGCACTGAATCTAGTTGTTTTACCTCAATTCTATACCACTTTACAGTGGTACACCATTGTATCACTGAAAATCAATATACTTCTCAGAATCACTAAGTGGAGTTGTAATTTCCCACTATTAAGTTCTTTAATTTAGGATAATGTTAGTATTTGAAAATTATATCTTCTGAGAAGTCAAACCAGTAATCTTTTTCATAATATAATTGCAATGCAAGAGAAATCAGGGTTTAAAAAATATTATTAAATTTGACCTTTCCAAGGTAAGACATTTGACAAATTATCTTTCAGCAGTAAAAGCTCAGAAACACTGGCAGAATTTTCTTGTACAGTGAATCTGAAATATGGAGGTGCATGTGAGGTGCGGACTGAACTGCCACTTTATGGGCTTCCCAATTTGCAGACTGTAGGGATTGTTGTCAACTCATTAAGATATTGGGTAACTAGTGGAAGGGCACTTCCGGGGGCATGTAAGAAGAAGATGTGTGGAAGTTTTTTCATGATCTTTGTTCTCTGCTCACATAATTAATTTTTTTAACCCAATTTTCTGTTCATAGTTTCAGAAGAGTACCCTCAAAAAAAGGGAAATAGGAAAAGATGTTCCCCAATCTGTATGGTTCTAAGTGGCTCCCTACAAACAGGACAGCTCTTACTGCACTAACTTCAGGAGACCAGTAAGAAACTTCTGAATTCTGTGTTTACCATTGGTAGGAACCATAATCAGAAATAAATAAAATTAAACAGTAATTTAAAGAAAATGCTACAATTTGTGAATGGTTTGATGAAAGACTAGACCCATAGCATTAACTCCAAACTTTACTGTCTGTTTTGCCTCTGCAAGCTAAGTTGTACCTCTGAATTGCTCCTGATCCCCAAGAAACAGTTTGGGAACCCCAGACTTAATGTATTCTGTATATTTGCCTTTTCTCTTGTCAGTACAACTGATGAAAATGTATTGTACCCCTAAAAAACATTGGAAATGCTTGAATTACATACTAAAAAGTTGTTTGTTATAACACTGAATGGCTGATATTAGAGAAAATGAGGATGAACAAGCTTCAATAATTATTTCATTAAGTTAGAAATATTCATTAACTGGAGCCTCTTACTGCTATTGTATTAAATAATTGGTAAGGATGAAACATCAACTTCTCAATATTAATTGCACACACAATCTTATTTTAACTATACTCTACAAACAGGGAAAATATTTAGATGCTTTGCATCGCAGGATATTATTATATTCAGTAATATTAGTTTCTTTCAGTTAATAAATATCATTCATGTTTATGAAGCATATTTCAATTAAAATGATAATGTGTTACACATTTATATACTAGGAAAAGGAATGTCATTCCAAACTTTATTGTCAAATTTTAAAATGTTCATATGTAAAAAAAGTTATATTTTCATAACTTGAAATATAATAATTGATACACAACAAAAATATGATGTTAAAAATAAGTCAGCTCTTATTAATAAGAACAATTCATTTCTGAATAAAAAAGTATCAATGAAAGTAACATTATTTTTGTAAAATATATACATTTCAATATACAATTGCATTTTAACAAATGTAATTAATCTAAGTCTTCCTCTTTTTGGAATAATTCATTAGTTGCTGTTTCTTTTCTTCATAGGAGATGAATCCCATTTTTCTGAACTATAATAATATGAATAAATTAGTTTAAATATTACTAATAATTTAAATTTACAATATATATAACTAATTTTATAATAGGAATATAATTTTTAAATCACAAATGCATATCATTTATGCTAATAATTATTAGGAACAAATCTATTTTAGGTTTAGCATGCAAATAATTCTGATCAAACTAAATATTTTGTAAATAAAGAAAAAATAATAAAGTTATTATTTTTAACATGACTTCTCACTAAGTGGCCTTTTGAAGTTATGGTGGACCCCCGCCCCAAAAGCTACTTATGACCTATTCCCAAGGTTCTGGCCCCTGCAGTCCCCCCCTCAATTGTTTTCCCTTATGGCCAACTGCAGGGACAGTGCAGCTCCCCCTGCCTATCTTCCCATCTCCCCCATTGGCCCCCTGCAGGAGCTGGGCCTGCTTTCCGCCTCACCAGCCCCTACCCATGACCTGATAGACAAACCTGCGTGGACGTTTTAGTTCTCTTCCTATTTTGGAATGGCTTGGAGCTGCGGACAAATCAAGTACTTCTGAAAGAGGTGGTAATATGTTGCATTGACTTGATGAGGTCTTACCTATATAAATAAATCTTAATTTTAATTTTAGAATTTCTGATACCAGATGGCTGCAAGCATTCGAGGGAGGTGGTTGGTTCAAAAATATGAAAAATTAATAAATAAATAGTGTGTATAAAGTTCTGCATATTTCAAAAATACTTAATTATTTACAACTCCGCTTGAGCGTATATATTTATATATTTATATTTATGTGAAATTGGCTTGGAAAATGCATGTCCTTATAATCAATCCATAACATTTAACTCTAAACCCTGTGCCCAATCGGGCCCTTTCAGCCTTCTCCCTTCCCATCTCTTGTATTGATTGAAATAATCATTCTGCTTTGTTTTTTTTCCAATAAAGAAAGGATATAAGGTGGGGATTGGGCACCCCACTGGGTCATCTACAGGCATAACACTGTCAAGAAATAATCACTTTAAAACTGTTTTCAAACTGTTCCCTCCAAGAATAAATAGCATTGTGAACTGTAGAAATTGAGACAAGGCTTTGGCCCAGGCCCAGTCTCAGGGCACTGTCTTCCAGACTGCATGAGGAAGAGAACTTAAATTAGTCCTCTAAATACCAATCTCCCTCTGAACTCCCATCTCCGGTAGGCCTGAGTCCCATATTCCATGCTTCCCTATCTCGCCCGGTAGAGATTTTCTGGTACTGTTTCTGTTAATGTTTATGAGTAGCCTTGACCTTGCCAGTTTCAGAGACAAAATGGGGGAAGGGGGGTTAGTGCATTTTCCTTTATAACAATTTAATAGAAATCTTCCGTTAACCTTTTTCTGCTTTTCATTTATTTCCAGGTTAACTGTACATATACAAATGACTATAAAATTGTGACGATGACAGTTTGATATATTTGATTTCACCCAAATCCAAATATGTATTTTAAAGCAAATCTGTTGCATTGAAAATCCATTTTTTTAAATACAAAACTATTTTATGGATTTTATGGTGAAATAATTATCTTCTAATCCCACCAGTAACATTTTTTCTAATACTGCCAAAAAAGAGGAACTATGGCTTTGATTCAAAGTTTTGTGGAACAAAAATATTAAACTAGGTGTTCCAGTAAGTATATTTCTCATTATTCCCCTCAATCTCAAAACCTTTCCACGCAGTTGGGGAAACTATCTGGAAAAAGTTAGAATATGACAGTGATGGCTGATAAGTAGAATGATAAACTGGCAAAAATTGGGACTGGAATTTCCATTGCTAAGCGATGCAGTTATAAAATGCTGACTGCACTGCAATCCTTGCAGTCCCAGCTGTTAATCAAATTCCATGGCTTTTTGGTGAACATCTTCCTGCTGTTTTCCCATAACCAAAGTTAATGGAAAGGTGGCAGGCAGTTATAAATCCCAAGCTAGCGGACGGGTAAGTGGCTTCAATCAGGGGTGCACAGGGATTGAGGGGAGGATGGGAGAGGGTTTACAACAGTGTGAGGAAAGATTTAGAAGAATGCAAGTGAGTGTGCAAGTAGTGCAGTACAGGTTTGAGAGACTGTGAGGGAGTATGTAAGAGGTGTAACTCGGAGAAGGTGTGCAAGAAGTGTGATGCAGGATGGGGACGGGATGAGAGTGGCCTGTTTGGCATAAGCACAGAGGGGCTGGGAAGGATGCATGAGTTGGGAAGACTTAGCTCAGCAGCTTACACATTTCCGTCAGCTTCCCAATGGACTTTCTAGGAAAGCCAGCAGAGAAGGTTGCAAATGATTGTGGTATGCTACAATTAGTCATAAGTGCAAACCGGTTTCCAAGAACCTAAATCATAATCATGTGACCACGGACAGCCAGAACTCAAAGGATCAGTTGTTCAACACCATTGTAACTTTTGAATAGTTGTTGAATGAATTGGTTGTAGGTTGAGAACTACCTGTAATGCTCTCTTTCTAGAAGGACAGGTAGTCCTCAACTTGCAACCACAACTGAACCCAAAATTTCCATTGCTAAACAAAACAGTGGTTAAGTGAGTTTCGCTCCATTTTATGACACTTGCTACAGTTAAGTGAACCACTGCAGTTGTTAAATTAATAGCATGGTTGTTATTGAATCTAGCTTTCCCATTAACTTTGCTTGTCAGAAGGTCACAAAAGACGATCATGTGACCCTGGGACACTATATCTGTCATAAATACATGCCAACTGCCAAGCATCCGGATTTTGACCATGGGAAATGCTGCAATGTTCATATGAAAAATGATCATAAATCACTTTTTTTTAGAGTTGTTGTAAATTTGAATGGTCACCAAACAAATGGTTTGAGGGGTATCTGTATAGAAGGTCCTGTCTGTTTCATTAAAACTTGGGGCCTAATTATATATGACTTCTTTATTTATGTTTATAAATTTATATTCTATTATACTGGTGAGTCAACATGACTTTTAGTAATATATATGCAGTGTCAATACATCCATACCTAATTCCTGGTCTATTAATTTAAGTTTGTCTTCCAGTTCAGCAAGCTCTTCTTTCTTACATTGCATTTCTACAGTATTAAAGGATTGTTGTTGTTCTTCAAGGTCAGTTTTTACTTTATTAACTTGGAGAAGTGCTGCACGGTACTGCCGAAGCAGATCTAATATATAAAGAAAAAAGGTTTATATGTTATATGTTAATAAAATACAACACTATAATCTGTCACTATTTATTGTCATTGAATAAAAATATTGAAG